GTCCAGGGGGAGGTGGGGGGGGACATCCACCAGCCGGAGCGCTGGGGGGGGCAGCAGAGGCAGAGGCAACCGGACCCTGAGGAGGAGACGCATCGTCATCCTTTCAAACTTATTAWTGGCAAGTCTGGAATGGGACAAGGTCCGGACCCGGGTCATAAGGACTCTGGATAGTCCAGGTCTGCCCCCCACCCCCCCCCAGTTTTAAACCCGTCCTCAGACTCACGGTTCTGCTCCAGGTCAGTCCAGTGGTGTGGTGCTGTTTGATGTAGTTCTGCAGCTCGGTCCAGATGGACAAGTAGGCCTTCACCCAGTCCACGTGTGTCTTGTCCCTGTCAGGACCAGAGACCGTGAGACAGACAGGAAACAGGAAGTGACGACCTGCTCCACAGGAAACAGGAAGTATACTGACTTGTCCTTGTACTCCTTCAGGACTCTGTTGGTGTAGAACATGGCAGCGTCCTGCATTTCTTTGACGTACGGTCCGGGCTTYGGGTCCTGGACAAAAACACAAAAGGATGTTTCATCTGAGGGACAGTTTGACCTTTGACCCCACGTCAGGGACTGAAGGCAGCTTCTGTTTGGTTCTACAGCAGAACCAGAAACGTCCTCTGTTCAGTCTCAGCAGAATCAAAGACCTCCTTGTCGTCCCCCCCCACACACACACACACGTTACCATGGCGACCCATCCCAGGGCGGGGACGCTCTCGCTGACAGCAGACAGGTGGTTGAACAGCGGGGAGGTCCGGTTCTGCTCACGGAACGCCTGAACCTGCTGGATGGTTTTAGAGACAGGCTCCAAGAGAGACTTCAGGACCGCCTGCAGGAGCACACGACCAGAGTAAACAACAACAACAACAACAACAACAACATCAACGGTTTGATCACGTCTTAACAGGAAACATTTAGTAAAAATTTTATTTTCTATAAACTTTTTTTACTAAAACAAGTATTCTTTAGAAAAACACGTCATGTTACTGCCGCGTCATCAYGTTAGYGTCACGTCGTCACGTTAGCGTCACGTCGTCACGTTAGCGTCACGTCGTCAYGTTAGCGTCACRTTAGCGTCATGTCAGCAGAATCGTCAGCAAGTGTAGATTACCCCTTCACAGTTGTATTTGTCATAAAATAAGMTTAAATACAGCAGAATGAGAACTTTTTTAATCTGATTACTTGATTAATCGACAGAATAAACTATAGATTAACTGATTATTAAAATAATCATTAGCTGCAGTCCTAGTCGTCAGCTTCCTGCTGACTCACTGATTCTTCCTGCGGGAGATCAGTTTGGTAGAAGAACCGTGGTCCAAACTCAGTTTGGTAGAAGAACCGTGGTCCAAACTCAGTTTGGTAGAAGAACCATGGTCCAAACTCAGTTTGGTAGAAGAACCATGGTCCAAACTCAGTTTGGTAGAAGAACCATGGTCCAAACTCAGTTTGGTAGATGAATGATGGTCCAAACTCACGTCTGAGGGCTTCTGGGAGGATGAAGCTGTGACGAGGAGCTGTCTCTGATTGGAGAACGCCTGCTTCATCATCACTGCCTGAGGAAGAGGAGGGACAACAGTCACAAGTTCTGCTGGCAGATGTTCCTGTTTGACTCAACACAATCTGGACCTGCTGATTTCACCTGGAGAAGTGGGCGGAGTCAGTTTAAGGTGACACGTGAGCAGGTGACTTACATGTTTCTGGACGTCTCCTCCGATCTGCTGGCTGAGGGACATGTATTGGGCCACGGGTCCGTTGACAATCGTGTCGAAGGCTCCGACGAACACCGCTACGGCTGCAGGAGGAGAGGATGGAGACAAGATGGACGCAGCGTCAAAACGAGGTCAGAGGTCAGACAGGATGGAGGTTCAGGAGCAGCTCAGCTCCAGAACATCAGAACCGACTGACAGGTGTTGGACCACTGAGGACCGAGGGGTCTTTGTCAGGACCTCAGGCTTACCTCCTCCAGAAGGGGCTCCAGCGCTGCCCCCCGAGCCCGACATGGACTCCAGACGGCCCACCGCMACCTCCAGCCGCTGCACCAGACTCGCCAACTCTGCCATACCTGCAGGAGAGAAGATCTTTAACCTGTGTCACATTGGACCCATCAAAGGTTCTGAAGAACTCCCTGACCTGGGACAGACCCATTCAGGTTCTGACAGTCTGTTTAACTACAAAGTCCTCAGTGAACCCAGCAGCTGGTCCAGGCTGGGTCCAAATTCAGGGGCTGCATCCTTTGAAGGACCTGGCCTACCCAGCCCACCTAGACCAGGTCTTCTGTCAACCACAAAGTCCGGATTAAGCGACTATAAACTAGTATGGTCTAGCCTACAACTTTAGTCCCCCCCTGCAGCTAGTCTCAGAGACCTGCAGACACAGTCTCAGAGACCTGCAGACACAGACCTGCAGACACAGACACAGAGACCTGCAGACACAGACACAGAGACCTGCAGACACAGGGACCTGCAGACACAGAGACCTGCAGACACAGAGACCTGCAGATACAGACACAGGGACCTGCAGACACAGGGACCTGCAGACACAGGGACCTGCAGACACAGAGACCTGCAGACACAGACACAGGGACCTGCAGACACAGACACAGGGACCTGCAGACACAGGGACCTGCAGACACAGGGACCTGCAGACACAGGGACCTGCAGACACAGAGACCTGCAGACACAGAGACCTGCAGACACAGACACAGAGACCTGCAGACACAGGGACCTGCAGACACAGAGACCTGCAGACACAGAGACCTGCAGACACAGACACAGAGACCTGCAGACACAGACACAGAGACCTGCAGACACAGACACAGAGACCTGCAGACACAGACACAGAGACCTGCAGACACAGAGACCTGCAGACACAGAGACCTGCAGACACAGACACAGAGACCTGCAGACACTGTCTCAGGGACCTGCAGACACAGAGACCTGCAGCTCAGAGGCTCAGCTGTCTGCAGACTTCCTGTGAACAACAATCATCACATCCAGAAGGCTGAGAGTCACAGCTCTGCTGCTCCGAGTCTGACCTGCAATAATTCAGACTTGAACCAGTTTAACCTGAACAAACAACAAGTAACTAAAACAAAACTCTAAACTACGTCACACAAAGATCAGGTCAGTTTTTATTCCCACAAAGGACCAGGACTGAGAGTCCTGAGTTCTGTCCTGGTCCACTCCTGGTCCAGTCTTTGGGATGTGAATAAATAAAGGTTCTGTTTTTCARCCATGTTCTTCAGTAAAAACACATCTGAGTGAAACCAGACCCAAACCATGACAGAACCTCCACCATGTTTTAGGTGTTTCTATCAGCCAGAAGGACTGGTCTGGAGACCTGCTGATCCAGACCASTGAGTCTACGGGAAGTCTGGCTCTTTAGACAGAAAAAAGACCAGACCGGACCGGACCGGACCAGGAGGGTTAACCTGTCTGTAAAAAGCCCTGCAGGTCCGTTTGGACSGAGCCTGTGGATCACTCAGAGCCCTGCAGCCTTCACTTTAATGAGTTTATTTTTAGATGCAGAAATGATGAAACTAGAAAACCCAGCTCAGGTCTCTGATCCTGGACAACCTGGTCCAGATTTAAGGTGGTTCCTGAGAGGACAATTCCACCTTAAAGAGAGGTTGAGTAAGAGCAGCAGGTAAACGGGCCCTGACTCGCTGAGTGAAGGTATGTGAGGTCCTGCAGAGACACCCAGCTGTTACCTGACACCTCACCTGTCCCAGCAGACTCACCTGTACAACATGAAGAAATGAGTCCTGAAGCCAGATTAAAATTAATCTGATCAACGAGGTTTAATTAAAATATTATTTTATTAAACTTAAAACTGAAGCAAATTTTTTTAAATTTAGAGATAAATAAAGTCCGAACAGCTGGAAGACTGCAGGAGTTTATTCAAGATCTTCTGAAATAAATCTCATATTTGAGTTGTTTCAGGTTTATTTATTTTCTAAACTAAATATATTTAATAGTATATAAACTTTAAATCTGATTTAGTAAAAAATAGAACCAGGTGTTGTAAGTTTAACACAGGTGAGTAAAGTTCAGGAGTAAAGGTGAAGCCTGACACACCTGTAGGCGGGGCGGGGCAGGCTACTTCCTGGATCTTTACTCCTTGCAGCAGTTTTTAGCAGAACTAAAACAAACCCTAATTATCCTGCAGAGTCCAGCACTTCCTGCGTTCAGCTCAGGTGACTCACCTGCAGCACAGGGAGGGGCGGGGCACCTGAAGGTGTTTACAGAAATAAACAGATCCTCTGCAGACAAACAGCTTCCTGTTGCAGCAGATTACAGAAACTGCACAGAGATGGTTCCTCACCTGAAGACCTGAGACCCTCCTCAGACCTGACACACCTGCTCCTGTTGGCTGACTGAGCTGTCAATCACCAGCTGAAGCTGCAGGACGAGTTTYCAACATGTTTCCATGACAACACAGCAGCTGACTGGAAACATGCAACAACCTGTGAGGAACACCTGGTTCTGGTCCAATCATCTGGTTCCTGCACAGCACACACACCTGGTCCAGAGTCTGGTTCTGACCCACATGGTCAGAGTGATGCTCTGGTTCTGGTCCAGAGTCTGGTTCTGACCCACATGGTCAGAGTGATGCTCTGGTTCTGGTCCAGAGTCTGGTTCTGACCCACATGGTCAGAGTGATGCTCTGGTTCTGGTCCAGAGTCTGGTTCTGTCAGACATAAAGTAGGGCGCAGCTCCTGTTGTGCGGTCGCGGAAGGATACACAGACAGACGGCGCACAGCCGAACCTTCACAGGTGAGCTTTAAGGTGTAAACAAATCCCGTCCGAACCGAACCCCGCTGAGGTCCAACAAATCCGTGTGGAGCCGCTGCTTTAATGCGATCACCGGTTCCAGCAGGGAGGCTACAGCTAACAGCTAGCAGCTAGCAGCTAACAGCTAGCAGCTAACAGCTAACAGCTAGCTGACGGGGTGTTGTGCAGAAATCTGTTTCCCGTTCAGGTCAGAACCGAACCGGAACAACTGAGTAAAAATAAAAATGTGTTTTTCTGTGTTTAAACGTGTTTATCAGATAAAGTCTGTTTGAAACCGGAAGCTGCTTCAGAACCACAGGAACACATAAAAGAAGGGAACTAAATCTGTCACAACACCGGGTTCTGAACCGAAMCGAACCGAGCCGCTCCACATTCTGACACCGTTAAATCAAGCGAGGTTCTGGAGCCCGGTCGGGACCCATTAACTGGACCCTGACCCCCTCCCGGAGCATTAGTTAGTGTCGAACCGGAAAAATAACTTCCCTAATTTCAGCCTCTCCTGTCTGGGTTCGGTTCGGTGTCGGACCGGAAACGAGCGGCGGGTTTTTTGTTCGTCTTCACGTCGCGATAAATGAGCTCGAATCTCACCTGCTAACCGGGTCGAGCAGTGATTCGGTCCGTTGTATCTCGGAGGGCGTGCTCGAGGTTCGGGCTCGCTCTGCAGACTGGGTCAGCTCCTTCCTGAATGTGCTGATGAATTTACCCAGCAGCCACCGCGCCACGTTTCCGCCCTTCTTCACGGGACTGAGTCCTTTTCCTTATAAGGCGCGTGAAGGAGAAACACCAGAAACACCAGGAAGAAGGTCCACATCTGGATCCGGTTTCACCCTGCAGGAACATCTGCACACAGCTGGGCACGTGACCTGCTCAGGTGATGAACTGAAAACACTTCACCTGCTCTACTGGGTCACAGACTCTGCAGGAGTACCACAGGGCTCAGTGCTGGGACCCCCATCCATGAAGGACCAGAACCTTCACTGGGTCTGGTTCTGTTGGAGATCTTTGCAGGATTTTCAGCTGCAGCATCTTTTAAAAATATATTTTTTATTTTCCTTCAGTCTACATGAGAACGGTCTGGACTCCTTCAGACTCTGTGCAGTTCCTGACCTCTGACCTTTCTGAGCTCGTTAATCTCAGCTGCTTCGTTAAGGACCAGGTCTGAGTATCGGCAAGAATATGGTGATATGATACATAWAACAGAGGGGTCACKATACGATATATCCCCATATATTTCAATACTGTAAACAAGGCGATATATTGCGTTTTTTTGTCCAAAAATTCTATTAAATAAAAACCTCTTACTGAAAAAAAAGAAAAGCTAATGTTTACTCACAATGCTAATGCTCTCTTACTCTCTGGTGCTCAAGAGGTAGAGGAGCAAATGTCTGGCTCACTGCTGCCAACTAGTGGTCAGAGGYTGAACTACAACATAAAAATGAACGGTTGGCAGGAAAGTTGACATTTTAAACCTTAATAAAAATCAATACAGGGCTTTAGAATATCGATACAGTATTGGGACATGAAATATCGTGATATTTCAGTGTATCKATATTTTCTTACASCCCTACCAATGACATGACAGATGATGGCGTCGATAAGAGCTGATTATGGACCGGACCTTAAATCAGATGAGATGTGGAATAAAACGTTTGTTGGCAAAAGAAACATGAAAGTCGTGTTCCTGAGCTCTACCTGGTGTTTCCTGCACAGAAACRGCTTTAACTCGTCCTCTCATAAACACTGAACAGTTCTACYTCCAACAGGCACTTCCCACTGGAGGTGTTCTTATTTTAAAACATTAATAATCTTTGAAGATCTCCCGGGTCACATAAAACACAGTGACAGGCCACATTTGGCCCACAGGCCTTTAGTTTGACAGATGTGTTTGAGTCCTGACACACCTGTCCTGTTCTTCTGGAACATGTCGTTTTATTTGAGGACTTTATTTTAGACAGAACGAGTCTGATAAAACAAACTTTCAGGATCTCTGGTCTGTAAATGTTGGAGCTGATGAGGATTTTAATAAAGACTCAGAATCAAAGCAGCAGGAAGTCAGAGAGTCCAGACAGGAAGTGGATCKTTTTGTTTGAAACAGAAACACAGCTAACTGGACAGTCCAGTTAAACCACTAAAACCAGAACATTTTATTCACACTTTCCAGGTGATCCAGTCCAGTAAAAACAAGAAGCCTTCAGTGGTCCTCACAGTGGACCTGCAGGGTCCAGGTCACACTGAAACCACAGGAAGAACCAGATCCTGAAGTCAGGTCCAGAATCAGACACAGAACCTGAGGGTTTTATCTGGACCAACAGAACCAACATCAGACTGGTTTTAAATCTATCTAGATGTGAATGTTGTGTCTGAAGCAGCAGGAAGCCTCGGAGGAACCGTTCAAATAAAACATTTAAACTTCAGATCGGATCAGATCCACAGACTGAAGGTCACACAGCAGGAAGACTGGTTTCAGCCGGTCTCTTTAAACATCTTTTTGTCCCCAAACTGTGTTTATAATCAGAGACAATAAAGAGAAACAGTCAGTGAGCTGCTGAAACTGAACTAAATAAAGATTTCAACTTTGATCTTTGACTTCTGGACTCAAACATGTTAAAAACAAACAAACAACAAAGATTTTAATCAGAAAGTGCAGCTTCTCAGTGGTTCCAGCACCTTCATCTTCCTCATCATCAACACATCAGCACATTCCAGTGTTAGAGCCGCTCACAGCCCTTCAGAATAAAAGCCTGATGGAACTGCAGACTCTGAGGTTTTCAGAATAAAAGCCTGTTAGTTAATAACAGAAAAACAAACGCACACACCGGACACACAAACATGCAGAAGATTCTCCGGTGTCGGCCTGGTGCTCCTCATGCAGGTGAAGGTGGGTCCGTTGGTACCGGTGGTTCTGGTTCAGGTCCGTGGCAGTGTTTGGTAGCTCCTCCTCTGTGTTGTGTGTGTGTGTGTGTGTGTGTGTGTTTGTGTCTACAGGAAGTGAGGTCTGAGCGCGTCCAGTGGCTATCTGAAACAGGAAGTGAAGCAGGTAACTTCCTCTCTGTCTGTAAGCAGTGTTGGTCCCACTGGGGCGGGTCAGAACCCCCCACAGTCCAGGTTCGGGTCAGTGAAACAGCAGCTGGCTCAGATGCAGCAGAAACAGAGGTGGTCAGCCTTCATCGATGAAGAGGAGGAGCTGCTGCTATAGGTGCTCCTCCCGGGGCTTCAGGGCCCTCGGGGGCCCCTGGCCGTTCCTCAGGGAGCCGTTCTGGGGCCGCAGCAGGTGTCCCCGCTCCTGCCCCTCATCGCTGTCAAACTCTGAGTCTGAGCGCATGAGAGCCGAGGAGGTGGGAGGAGGGACGGGCTTCAGGCGGGCTGGAGGAGGAGGAAGAAGTTTAAAATACAGTTTTAAAATCTGTTCTTTCATTAAACTTTCAAAGTAAAATAACAAATTTTAATTTTCAGAACTTAAACCTGTTCCTCATTAAGTATGAAGAACTTTATACAAACAGTTTATAAATGTTAACAGATGTTTATAAATGTATATAATAGTTTATAAAAGTTAATAAATGCTTAAAAGCTGTTAATATATGTTTATAAATGTTAAATGTTTATAAACAGTTTGAGGTTTATAAATGTTAATAGATGGTTATAAACTGTTTATAAACTGTTTATAAAC